CACAATAGACGTTTATACACCATTCGATAGAGAATTTCAAGAGCTACATTTTGCACTATTTGTATTTCAAGATAGATAAAATCGACTTTTTGGCCTAATGTCCGCTTAGTTGCCCACTGTGTGTTGAAGGTCCAACAGAAGGTGGGTTTGTTTGTCCTTCTACAATTATTTCTTCTGATTTTTGGAAAGTTGGTCAATTAGTATCTAGTAATATTTTAATATTTAAACCAATTACTATGAATCAAGTATTAAAACATTAAAAATTAATAAATGATTAATTAAATTATATTAAAATATTATTAGATTATTATCCTTTAGCCATATATAAACCAAAATATTTTAATAATATTAATGATTTTTTATTATATAATCATTATTATAAAAATGATGAATTTAATATAGAAAATAATTCATCATTATTATTAGAACATGATCATAATGATATATTAATACAATATCGTCAAGCTGGTGATTGTTATTTATTAATTGAATATGGTAATTCAAAATTAGCTATAAATTTAATATTACGTATGCATATGCATCAAATACAAGAATATATCTTGGACTTACTACAGATTTAAAAACAATGAAAACGTTTTTAATTTTAATAAACTTAGTTTAAGTTTTTCAAAAATAATATGAAAGTTCGGCTTCTGTCGACCAATCCAAAGATCGAGAAGAAGTATATTCTCAGCTTTCATTCTTGAATACGGTGATAGTTCGACTGCTGCACCGAGAATCGGCCAACCAGTGCAATTTTTTGAATTATATATAGCGGCACACCATCGCTATGTAATATTACGAATAAAAAAAAACTCTCATGTATTTGTAATAAGTTTTGATGTATATCTCCTCCAACGATGTCACCACTGTCAGATATACTTAAATCTCTCGCCTTGGGCTGGTAAGGTTTTAACAATAAAACGTTTTGTTCACATAAAACTTTAACTTGGAATTCAACCAGTGTATGACCTGCTCAAGAACTCGATTGCCGATGGGACTCATGTGTCTGTTGAGCGTGAAACGAATCAAATCGTTAACACTGAAAAAATTCCCTCATGTGATCTCACAGCGGCACACCGTAAAAATATAATTTTCCAAATTGGAAATTTCATTAAAACAATATGGGATTTTCGAAATGCAGTCCTTTTCGAAAAAACCCGGAAAAACATTCAGATGGTGACGAGATGTTTTCTCTTATCTGTGAATCACCTCCCGTTTGACAATGGTTAACTAGTATGATGACTTTTAACGTAATTTGTAAACCCGGTCCTCAGCCTCTCTCTTCTCTCCGATAATAATTTTGTAGAGAATACAAGATTGAGTAAACCTGTATAAGAATTTATTTAAGTTTTTATGTTATTTTTCGGCCAATATTTCTTCTGCTTGCTATTCCCCGCATGCGATCATAGTCTTTCATTTTTATTAAATTTTACATTCGTTGTTGCAATTTCGTGTCTGTTTCCTATCCTCATACCCAGGAAATGATCTTTCGTTTAGTTTGTACTTTTCAAAGTTATTCTTTGTTTTTGTCTATTTGGTCATTTATTATGTAGTAATTGTTCCCCCACTGTGTTGTATAGGTTGTTATATTGTTCATTCATTTGGTTTTTTGTGTTCAAACATGTGTGCCCTGTTTTCTTTTTCTGATATTTTGAAGCAATGTTTATTCATTTTCGTGTATTTTAAACATATATTTAATACAAACCTCCCGGCGGAAAAACAAAACATGGTAAATTTGTGGAAGGAAATTCGGTCTACAAGCAGTAGACAGTGAGGACGAGTCATGAGACTGTCCACGTGGGACTACGGCCTTATTGCAGAAAGAAAATTATTTTATTCATGAACGAAACAGTAGATTATAGTATGAAAATAGAATATAGTATAGAGTACTGACCACTAAAGAATGTGATAAAATCGTACTATATCCTTCCTATAAGATTCTTATCAGAATATTATGAATTCTTATAAAATAATTATATAACCTATCTTGCCGAATTCTTATCGGAATCTTATAAGATTCTTATATTCCTTCGTATAAGAATCTTATCAACAAATTACGCATTTTCATCGATTGCCTTATATAAGATTCTTATAAGATTTCTATAGAATTGCCGTAAGATCGGTCGACTAGGGCATAATGAGATGCCATAGAATACCGTAATTTTCGTCTTTTCTGTTACTTAAGAATGAATAGTAGTATAATAAACACCGAATGCATAACTATGTATTACGAGACGTTTCGTACAATATCTTAGTACATCCTCAGTCGACTGAGGATGTACTAAGATATTGTACGAAACGTCTCGTAATACATAGTTATGCATTCGGTGTTTATTATACTACTATTCATTCTTAAGTAACAGAAAAGACGAAAATTACGGTATTCTATGGCATCTCATTATGCCCTAGTCGACCGATCTTACGGCAATTCTATAGAAATCTTATAAGAATCTTATATAAGGCAATCGATGAAAATGCGTAATTTGTTGATAAGATTCTTATACGAAGGAATATAAGAATCTTATAAGATTCCGATAAGAATTCGGCAAGATAGGTTATATAATTATTTTATAAGAATTCATAATATTCTGATAAGAATCTTATAGGAAGGATATAGTACGATTTTATCACATTCTTTAGTGGTCAGTACTCTATACTATATTCTATTTTCATACTATAATCTACTGTTTCGTTCATGAATAAAATAATTTTCTTTCTGCAATAAGGCCGTAGTCCCACGTGGACAGTCTCATGACTCGTCCTCACTGTCTACTGCTTGTAGACCGAATTTCCTTCCACAAATTTACCATGTTTTGTTTTTCCGCCGGGAGGTTTGTATTAAATATATGTTTAAAATACACGAAAATGAATAAACATTGCTTCAAAATATCAGAAAAAGAAAACAGGGCACACATGTTTGAACACAAAAAACCAAATGAATGAACAATATAACAACCTATACAACACAGTGGGGGAACAATTACTACATAATAAATGACCAAATAGACAAAAACAAAGAATAACTTTGAAAAGTACAAACTAAACGAAAGATCATTTCCTGGGTATGAGGATAGGAAACAGACACGAAATTGCAACAACGAATGTAAAATTTAATAAAAATGAAAGACTATGATCGCATGCGGGGAATAGCAAGCAGAAGAAATATTGGCCGAAAAATAACATAAAAACTTAAATAAATTCTTATACAGGTTTACTCAATCTTGTATTCTCTACAAAATTATTATCGGAGAGAAGAGAGAGGCTGAGGACCGGGTTTACAAATTACGTTAAAAGTCATCATACTAGTTAACCATTGTCAAACGGGAGGTGATTCACAGATAAGAGAAAACATCTCGTCACCATCTGAATGTTTTTCCGGGTTTTTTCGAAAAGGACTGCATTTCGAAAATCCCATATTGTTTTAATGAAATTTCCAATTTGGAAAATTATATTTTTACGGTGTGCCGCTGTGAGATCACATGAGGGAATTTTTTCAGTGTTAACGATTTGATTCGTTTCACGCTCAACAGACACATGAGTCCCATCGGCAATCGAGTTCTTGAGCAGGTCATACACTGGTTGAATTCCAAGTTAAAGTTTTATGTGAACAAAACGTTTTATTGTTAAAACCTTACCAGCCCAAGGCGAGAGATTTAAGTATATCTGACAGTGGTGACATCGTTGGAGGAGATATACATCAAAACTTATTACAAATACATGAGAGTTTTTTTTTATTCGTAATATTACATAGCGATGGTGTGCCGCTATATATAATTCAAAAAATTGCACTGGTTGGCCGATTCTCGGTGCAGCAGTCGAACTATCACCGTATTCAAGAATGAAAGCTGAGAATATACTTCTTCTCGATCTTTGGATTGGTCGACAGAAGCCGAACTTTCATATTATTTTTGAAAAACTTAAACTAAGTTTATTAAAATTAAAAACGTTTTCATTGTTTTTAAATCTGTAGTAAGTCCAAGATATATTCTTGTATTTGATGCATATGCATACGTAATATTAAATTTATAGCTAATTTTGAATTACCATATTCAATTAATAAATAACAATCACCAGCTTGACGATATTGTATTAATATATCATTATGATCATGTTCTAATAATAATGATGAATTATTTTCTATATTAAATTCATCATTTTTATAATAATGATTATATAATAAAAAATCATTAATATTATTAAAATATTTTGGTTTATATATGGCTAAAGGATAATAATCTAATAATATTTTAATATAATTTAATTAATCATTTATTAATTTTTAATGTTTTAATACTTGATTCATAGTAATTGGTTTAAATATTAAAATATTACTAGATACTAATTGACCAACTTTCCAAAAATCAGAAGAAATAATTGTAGAAGGACAAACAAACCCACCTTCTGTTGGACCTTCAACACACAGTGGGCAACTAAGCGGACATTAGGCCAAAAAGTCGATTTTATCTATCTTGAAATACAAATAGTGCAAAATGTAGCTCTTGAAATTCTCTATCGAATGGTGTATAAACGTCTATTGTG